AAGCTAATAGCTTAAATTTCTGGACAAATAAAACACGGCTATTATTGAATATCATAAAAATAAAAAAATTATTTTTTANCATACAAAATAAGCTAATAGCTTAAATTTCTGGACAAATAAAACACGGCTATTATTGAATATCATAAAAATAAAAAAATTATTTTTTATAAAAACTAAAACCTCCTTATTATAATTGCCATTCGTACTGTCATCAGGTATGTAACTTGAGAATAGAAATCGCTGCAGGGTAAAAATAACATTTTTTAAATATATTGGACCTGCCATTTTTAATTTTTAACATTTTAGAAATTTTTTGATAGGTGTCTCAAAATATACATAAGTACTAAATTTTATAAAAATTCATGCAAACGGAATTCGTTAAATGAGGTTGTCCCTATATATTATCGTTTCGGACCACTGTGAGCCGGCTGTTAAATGTTGTTCATACATATTAGGGCTATTCGCGATCCGGTGCAAATGGCCTAGCATCATTGCATTGCAAATTTGTATTGCAAATTATTTGCAATACACAAACAAAATACACGCATTTGCATTTGTCATGGCCTGACAAATTTGCAATACCGAAAATCCATAGCATAAAAATGCTATGCATTGCATTCATAAACAAAACCAAAGCTGATGCACAAAAATTGTTTTGCAAAAGCTTTACCATGACAGTTTAATAAAGGTCGCTCACAATCCATGGCATATTTCTGCAATTGCATAAATTTGTCAGCTCTTATGCACCGAATCGCGAATAGCCCTAGTAATTTACAGCAATTTACACGAGATAGCAGAATCAATAGCTTTTGTTTTATTTATAGCTAAGTTGCGTTTCGTTAAAATAAAAAATTGGACAAACCGAGTAAATATTTATGTGTGCATATCTTCTAATATATAAAAATCTCGTGTCACTGTGTTTTTGAACTCCTCCGAAACGGCTTTACCGATTTGAATGAATTTTTTTGTGTGTATTTGGTAGAATTACTGGTGAAGCGGGCGTGGCACCTCCCATATAAACCTATTTTTTCATGTTGCATAGCTCTGGAAGTGTTCATGGCAGAGTACTCAAACATGGTTTGGAGATATGTAAAATCAATCGCATACTCATGGTGGAAAACGAGAGTTATTGGACAAGGGGCGTGGCAACTCCCATGCAAATTGATTTTTTTAAGCTGCATATCTCAGGTGGTGTTTGTTGCAGAGGACTGGAACTTGGCACCGATATGTGTATACAAAATTAATTCCATACTAATGGAGAACAATTGGGGTTATTCGAAAGGGAGCAGTATTTTATACTGCATATCTATAGAGATGTTTATGTTAGAGCACTGAGAGTGTTGGTATATATAAAATCAACTCCTTTTTCGTGGAAGTAAATTACGGTTGTAAGAAAAGGGGACGTGGCACTTGAATTTTTCTTGCCGCATATCCCTGGAAGTGTTTGTGGAAGAGCAGTGGAACTTGATATGGAGTATGGAGTTATAAAACGTACGCATTGCTCATGAAAAAATGTGAGTTATTAGAAAAGGAGGCATGGGAGGCGACATACACACTAAAACTTACATAATACTTATCTGTGGAAGGATAGACAATCTCTGGAAATACTTTAAATTTGTTATGGGGATTTATTTTATCGGAACCGTACTGACAGACAAAATGTAGGGTGAAACTTTAGTTTAAAGAGCAACATTTAAGTTGTATTTTTATGCTCTTCAGAAAATTCCTCTTTGTATCGTTATTCTGTTTTGAAAACTAGAGACAATTGAATAATTTACAAATTTCGGTGGCCGCTGGTATCAATAGTTAGTGTAGCCGAAATATGTGTCGTATGCTCGTACATATGTATAACCATTTCAACATGTCGATGTATCTAGATATTTTATTACTTCAATGGTGCAATCTCTTGCTAGCGGCAAATTTCCCACGGCCATCTGGGATTATTGCTAAAAATACACAGCAAAGGTTTATCCCCTAAAATTAGCAACAGCCAAAAGTATGTAAATATACGTAGTTTATTTTTAAACAAACTTCGCTTAAGCAACTGTCGAAATGTTTAAGTAGTTAAGGTTTTGCACGTTCGCATGTAAATACACGTACATATAAACATACATATGTAGTCGTTAAATTGGCGATTTGTAAACGTGCGTACATGACTCTAAATTGCCGTTGATGACGGTTAACATGGAAAAGCATAAACTTACTTAAAGACATGCAATGTTTATATGAAATTGAATACAATTGCATGTTTACATATACATATATGTATATGTATGTACATGCATAAAATATATGAATATTAGAGTGGTTTTAAATACGTTCATTAGGGTAGTCCTTAAAATATCAACCTGTACATAAATTATGTATGTTTTTTCTACGTACAAAATAAAAACTTTCACGAAAATTTCAAAATATTAAATACATTTTTATGGGTCGCAAAAACTTTACAAATATTTACTTGAAATCTGATAGATTTGGCATATTATTGAAATATTTTTATATAAATAAAGCTATCTTAACGTATGTATGTAGAAAAGGGTGGTCCCAAAAAAAAACAATAAAGGTTAAGCACTCACCTCCTGGAATTTTCCTGACTCTGCTTCTTTTTAGGAGACTTCACATATCTATATCCAATTGTTTATTTAACCATTTTTAATATTAACTATTTTATAGGGGTTCCCAAAAAACCATAAAAATGAAATGGAGCGACTCATAAGAAATCGCTGGTATAAAAAATGGGAAAATAAACATTTGGTTATTATGTTTGGAAGTTTTCTGAAGAAAAACAGAGTTTCCCGATCGCAAAATATTGATTTTAAAGAATTCTATACCAGTTCATATGAAATAGTGTTTTTCCCCCATATAAAATATATTTGAAAAACTTTGACGGAGTTATAAATATCAATTTTAAAATAATTAAAAATAGTACTCCTTTTCCCATTTAAAAAATCCTTGGGCTGTGAATTTTACGCTTTAAACTTTTTTTTCAACACCCTAATGTAAATACGTTTTCGCATATTGTCAAGCTTAGTTGTACAAAATTACATACTTTACAGCATATGTGTACAGTTCAGTAATTTCTTTGACTATTGATTTGCACAGTAGGTCAACTAACCAATTTTCTGTGCGAAAGTAAAATTTCGGAAATAACGAAATTAATGGTACGTTGTCATGTTGGAAATACTCTAAGCCCCGGGAAGTTAACTTTAGTGTTTTTAAATGTAATATACAAGCTCGTTATACTCGGTCAAAGTCAATTTAACGATTTCAGTTCAATTTTTTTATTTTTAGTATATATTATAAGTTATCTTAAGTTTGTTTAAAATTTCGTTTTTGCGTTTTACGAGTAAATATACTTTTTCTAAGGAGTTAATGTTAGAAAATAGCAATTTGTTTGAAATTAGTCAGTAAGAAAGAATAAGAGAAACAAAATTGAACGCATTTTTCAAAGAGGTAGATGACTAAGCAGTACAGTAAATTTACGTATGTTTGTATTATAGGAAAGCTAGTGCCCTTTACGCTAGTGGAATGGCTTTTGGTTAAATTTTGAAGTCCGCTTTAATTTCGCGGAGAAAAATTATCATTTGACACAGTCAAATTAATTGCGCGTACATAATTGCTTTAGCGTATATATGTACATATGTATATGCGAGGGACTAATGAAAGTTCGCTTAGTTGGCGAATTTTAAATATTAAAGAAAAAAAACCAAATCATTTGCAATGGTTTTACGAGAATTCTTTCTAAATTTTAGAATGATCAATTCAAATGGCGACGAGAAAACGAAAAACATCTGAGGATAGATCAAACGAAAATCCACCATCAACGCAAAAAAAATTCGCAATGTGATTATTTTCGGGTTTTGGCGTAAACTACAGCCGCTACAAAAACTCAATGAATAACAAATTGCATACGAAACGATTCCACAATCTGTATAGACTATTTACAAGTGGTTCCGAAGATTACGGGACTTTTTTCAGTAGAAGACGAGCCCCGAGAAGAACCCCCCAAAATCTTCCTCTGATGACGTTAATGTGGCTCTGGTGAAGTACAACGTTGACGAAGATCTACTATTGATTCAACAAATGATAGCTGATGAATTGCGCTTGAATGCAATGGCTATATTGTCAATATTAAGAGACATCTGGGAAGCACGAATAAGTCTGCTCGGTGGGTTCCACGAATTTTAAATGAGGCCCTAAAAGAGGCTCAAGTGCATTTAGCTCAAATTTTCCTAAATAAATTCGAAAATGGGCAGTCTAGTAAACTTAGTAAACTCACTACTGGTTAAGAATCTGGGTTCTATAAGTACGATTCGGAAACCAAACACCAGTCCATGATATGGAGCCCAAAAGGGGTAAACCTATCCGTAAAAGCTAAGCAAGCAAAATCAGCAACAAAAGTAATTATGTCGGTTTACTTCACCCGATCAAAAAGCGTAGCTGTTATTCCCCTGGAAAAGGGTCAAACGGTAACTGTAAGTGTAACTGTAGAAACTTGGTACGAAAGGTATTTAACAGCAACGCGGAGATAATTTATGCGGTTAATGCTGAACTTGATAAGACGAAGACTGTTTTGAGAAATGCATCCATAGGCTTAAGAAATGCATTGAAATCAATGACGATTATGTAGAGAAAATACAAAATAAAACAAAGAACAAATACGAAAAAAATTGTTGTTTTTTTTGTGGTCAACTAAGCGAACTTTTGTTAGACCCCTCGTATGTGTATTTAAACATTTAAGGCTCATGCATATGCGAGCGGTTTTTTGCATTCTGTTGCCGCGCCGCTGACCTTTAAAGTTTTAAAGATCAAAAATTGTTGGCAATTGCGCATATCGGAGTTTTATTGTTCTCGTTTGCGAACACAACGACAAAAAAACACAAAAAGAACACATAAAAAAACAAAGGTGGCAACGATTTCTGAAAATTGTCGTTATTTGCATACATATTTTCATATGTGTGTTAAGGAGAAACAAAACCTATGGAATTGTAATGCATCCGCGAGCGGAATACCTGAAGTTGTACATATATTTGCTATGGCAGCGGTAGCAGCAATTGCTCTTGCGGTGACTGACATTTCATTGCCACTTGTTGGCCATATAGTTTTTGTATTATTTTTTTTTTTACTTCGATTTGTGGCTAAGTTGATCGATTATTTCTTTTACCTTGCCTCTGCTGAATTGCTTTTTCTCTTATTTGTAACAAGTAAGTAAAATAAGTTTTCAAATGGCTAGGTACCTACATACATACATCTGTACGTACTTTTATACATATGTACATACTTATTGTATTACGAGTTTCAGATCTTAAGTATTGCACAAACTATTTCTATGCATTTTTATTTTTTTTAGTTCTCTTTTTTCTGAGTGCGCTTTATTATTCAAAGAATTTCTGTTATTTTAAAAATTTTCCACACGATCGACTACACTTCTTTTCCCCTACACATGATTTAACTCCGGTCAGCTGTTTATTATTGCCACAACTTTACACTCGCGCGACTATAAACTTCTCAGCTGTCTTGATTCACAACCGCTGCCGCAATGACTTACCGGCAGACTGATTGGTTGTCTGCCGGAATATTGGTCGGTAGCTGGTGCGTTTGTTGTCGCGCGCAAAGTGGTTTAGCTTGTTTTTCATTCTTTATTGTTGGTAAGTAATTTCTGTTTTGTTTTTTCTTTTGTAAATACTTCAGTACACCCATAAAGTTCTTGGGTTTTTAAGGATAGCTTTTTATTTATTTTGATTGGTTTTTTAGTTTTATTAATCTTTATACGCTTATGTTGAAGTGAGTTGGTTTTTTTTTTACAATTCAGGCCATGTTCACGTGTTACGGAATGGAATTTCAGTTTACACGGTTGTGCGTTTTTACTCACTATGTTCAATTAAAATGATTAAATTAATTTGCATAAACAATAGAACAAAATTTTTAATTAACTTTCGAAGTAAAATGAACATAATTCTAATATATATATATGTATATATATATATATCTATATATATATATATGTATATGTTGAGTCCGTCGACACAAGGGTTGCCAATCTGACGTTCTCTATGCAAACACACACGGTCTACTCAACTGTCAGTTGCACGCTTGGGCGTCACGTTGGCAAAGTACTCATTCTGACGGGGCTATTAATGGGGTCCCTTCGACGTACTCGTTTAATGGTCTACTGAACTTTGCAGCATCTATTCACCATGAGCTGCGGCTGCCAGCAGGCACATACATATATGTCTTGGAGTAAGCCGGTCGCTATAAGCATGAATGAGTCGTCTAAAATTGCACCAATCTCTGGTTATGTACTAGGTATGGGAATTACCGCGTAAAAACCCCTTCCAATGAAAATATTAAGAAAGCCTCAAAGGTGTATGGTTTGAGACCAAGCATTCGAAATGTCCGTGCCCTAAACACGGAAGTAGGCTCTGCGCGGCTGGTTGATGTTCTCGAGAAGACTAAGGCTGCCATTAAAAGAGTGCCAATTCGGCGATGTAAAGAAAAAGTGGATAAGGCACAAAGGAATAACGACTAGTTTGCATTATTAGATTCGAACACAATCACTTAGAAAATAACAGCGCCAAAAATGCGGAAGATTTGCCAGGATGAGAATACGAAAAATTCACTGCGCTCTTCGGTATTCTTAGCTAATAGAATGTTTAATAATGGGCAGTTGCGTCTATTCATTTGATAGTATACTTGAGAATTAAATGAAACCAAAATGAAATATGCTATACCATAAAATTGCGAAAAAAAGACGCATCAACCCCTTTCATCGGGTCAGACGTCTTCTGTGGTCTGGCTGAACGATCAGGTCCACTGCACTTTTAGCAAGATATAACCTAATTATAGCAGGAGTTTTGACAGGAAACTCAACGCCAAACAATACATCTTAAGGGCGCACGGATTTAACCCCTACAATAATAATTCAAATGCATCGTCTGTGCCTCACTTCGATACCTTATAGCTAATGGTATAATAGCCATACCTAAACTACAGAGTGGGCCTCGTCTATGGGTCGAAAGTAATAAACCTGAGATATTCTATACATATAAATACAGTAGCGCTCACCTAAATAGCGCACTTTTATTTTTTACAATATCCACAGTGTTTTGCGTGGTACAATTTTTTTCGCAATTTTTTTTAATAAAAATATAGTGAGTTCTATAACATAAACCATATAGGTTTAAGTTTAAGACTTTGTGTACAGTTCACGAAAATTTTACAAATTTCAAAAAAAAAATGTCATAAAAATGTTTAACTTTTTTTTTTGCAGAATCTTTAAAAACTTTTTGGGTATGCAGTTTTGCAGCTGTTCCAATTTTAGTATAATAATGTACGGGTTTGGATTAAAATACAGGATATTTTTTGTAGGGGGTTGCCACTTTTTCATAAACATAAAATCAGTTTAATTACTAACTATTAACTATTTAAATCACATATTTTAGTATGGGTACCAAATTCGGTTGAAGGCAAATTTATCTCTAAATATGTATTTTTAAAGAGGGTTGCCACCTGTTAAGAAATTCACATAAAATTTACTTAAAGGCTTAAAGGAAGTATTTTAAAATGGGTATCAAACGAGAGGGTTAAGAAATCTTTCGTTCGAAAATATTTTTAAAGAGAGTTGCCACCCGTTTAGAAATTTAAAATCATTTTAATCAAACCTGCTAATATTATAAAAGTGAAAGTTTGACCGTTAGTGAGTGTATATGTTTGTTGCTCTTTCATGCCAACACGGCTGGACGTATCTCAATGAAATCTGGCGCACTTATAAGCTATGACCAGGACTAGCATACATGACATTTTTATGAAATGGGTTGCCACTTTCAAACGTTTATATCAACTATTTGTTAAGTTGGGTGTCAAACAAAAGGTTCAAACATGTTTTTGAAGAGAGCTGCCACCTTTTCATAAACATGAAATAAATTTAGTTAACAATTTAAATCAAATATTTTAGTATTGGTATTAAATGAGTAAGGTTTATGACATATTTATTTTTAAATATTTTTGAAGAGTGTTGCGACCATGGCAAAGGATTCGGAATTCAGAATTCGGTTCAAAAATGCCCTATCTCAAACCAATACAATACATTGTAAATGTGTAGAAATATGGCGTTTTTGAACCCAATCATCACCTATCTCAAAATAGGCATTTTTCAATCAAATTCTGAAATAGGGCGTTGTTGAAAAATTTCTTCATCGATATGTATTTATGTTGATACTCACACTTCTCACATTTGAGGCATGCATTTCATGTAAACGAATATTTTAAATGACGTAAAAGTGGGGGTGAAATGAGACAGCTGTGGCTACCACTTCGAGGCATTTGAATGACCCAAAAATGGCACACTTAGCGAAATACTTGTTTTTGCAATTTTTATTTTATAATTTTTACTTTAATTTGCTATACGTAAATTTTTTGTGGGCTATAGCAATCCAGTACATACATACTTAAACTAAAGTGTGACTGCCAGCAGCCATATTGAGTGAAACGTAAAACTTTTGAATTTTTCTTGGCGCGTACCAGCAAATCAATAAGATAATCACCGGTAAAATTGACTGACATGTCGATAAACACATTAAGCGTAAATTCCAGCTGCTAAGCGAGCAATGAGATAATAAACGAAACGCAATAGCGCTCAACTCAGCAAAGATTTACGGCAGGCAGCAGGCAAATTCACAGACATCCTGAAACCGAAAGCGAAGCACATAACTCGCACATTTTTATAAGTATGTTGTGTTACTTAGTGCGTACATATGTTTGTGCATACCTACATATTAGAGCTCTTGTTAGTCGACTAGTCGACTAATCGAATAGTCGAGTAGCAAAAGTTGTTTCAAAAAATAATCGACTTCACTTAATCGAATAACCGTTTCTTTTCGACTTTTCAAATAACCGCTCACAAACAATTTGTGGACTATCTGTTCATTTTCGATTTTTCGACTAGTTGTTTTCTTTCAGTAAACATTGTTTTATTTTTTTATTTTTTGAATACTTATGCTTACTGACAAAGCCCAGCCATGCTAATGACAATAATTTTATGGTGAAAACTGTCCCTATTCGAATAATTACGGTTAGTCGATTTCCATACTACTCGATAGTTAGGGGTTAATCGAAAGTTAACGGTTAGTCGAATTCGATCGGTTAATCGAATAATTGCTATTCGACTATCAACCGACAAAAAAGTTGCTAAACGACTAGTCGACTAACCGAATAACCGGATAGTCGATTTTTAACGAGAGCTCTACTACATATGTATGTATATATGTACGTTCATATTAGTGCGCTCGTTAGCACATTGCATTACCCGGTCGTAGTCCCGAAATGCTGCCCCAACAATTAACCTGCCACAATGCAAGCGGATTCAAGCTCAAAGTTGCGGCAATTAAACCGTATAGCTGTTTTGCACTTAAAGAGCGTTGAGCCAGAGCAATAAAAAGAAAAGCGAAAAGATAAAAAAATAAATCGCAAATGAACTCAACTATCACTACACATCGGCAACGTAAGAAAGAAATCAATTAAAACACTACCTTACAACAATTTTTGACCGCATGCATCCACGCCTTTTTTACACACGTATGTACATACATATGTCGATATGCAAACTTCGATTGCAATCAGAGTGCGCAAGGAATGAATGTAACGCTTTCACTTTCCACACAGCGTGCAACCGAGTGAATCGGCGCAAGCACATGGGCACATGTGGCAGGCCAATGCGCATCAGGGAAGCCAACTCGCTAAATTTTTGTCAACGTTTCTTGATTTTTTTTTTAATATTGCACAAAGTTTGAAACTTGGATTTATACGGTTTCCGTTAAGGAATGAACTTTATTTTTATAAAAAATGGCTCAAATAAAATAACAAAAATAAATAATTATAACTGTGAAAACTTGTCAAAATTTGGTGCAACAAAAATTTCTTCGACCTTTGTATGTACATCTGTATGTTAATATTATAATTACATTTTTTTCTTTATCTGTTAAGTAACTTTATAAAAGTTTGCTTTTGGTTATGAATACATACATAGATGAATTACATTTAAAAATGAAATGAACAGAAAGAGCAGCAATATATAAAAATACATAAACATTGTTTTTGTATATAAGGACATACATACGTATCTATGGGTGAGGAATTTTACGAAATTTCGAGCAAAATCGGGGAATTACGTTATCGAAATCGGGGTATTCTCAAAAATTAGTTGGCTACCCTAATGCACATTCACACAATCAGTGTAGCGCGCATTCGGAAATAATTTTCATGCTGTGGCGGCGCCAGTTCCTTTCATCCAGCGGTCAAAAAAGTTGTGGAGGCACTGATAAATGCATATGCCTATTGCTGCAAGCTATTGTTGAAGGCGGTATTTCTCCTGTTGTTGCATGCTGGTACAGGTACATATAGTATCGGTCATATCAATAGCACCACCGTTTCAAAGTTATGTTGTTTGCCACTCATGTTTATTTATTTATTTTTAGGAATTTTCAACTAAGATTCAAACTTTGTAGAAAACTAAAAAAATACTTAACAACTTTTCAAACTTTTTTCTCAGAAGTGTTTGAATTCGTTTTAGTACACAGTTTTATAGCCCATTCAATTTTTTAGCTCAACCAACCACCGCCGTAAAGTCGTAAGGCACGACGGCCGGCACGACGCACAGTGTAAGATTTGACCCATCTAGCTGCTTTGAATTCTGTAATTCGAAAACTATTGAAGATAGATTAATGAAATTTTGCACAAGGTACGTTATAACATAGGCGAAGCTTTTTTACAAAAAATTGGTAATTTATAGTTACTGTCACGCCACCCTATTATATAACTGCAATTTTTAAAAATGCAAAAACTGAAATATTTAACTAACTACAAAGGCTAAAATGACCAAAATTGATATTTAGAATTTCCCTGTAACAAGGAATTATAAACTGACAGAAATGGACTTAAACATAAATGTATTTTTTTAATTATGGGCGTGGAAAATATCGATAAAAAAGTCAAGTTGGGTCAACAAAATTCCGTTATAAGTTCAATATTTCTTGCTCTATTTACAAAAATGGGATACCATTGGAAAGGTAATGAATCAGGCTTTCTCTATTCAATTCAAATATACAAGAATTTGTCTCGGTCGAGATAAAATGCAAATGAATTACTCGAAGAAAATAAAATTCCCAGAAGGTCAGAAAAAAGAAAATTTCATCAAAACCTGCACTTTCCAGCAGCTAAAATTGTGTTGTATAAAGTCTAAGAGGAGTGGCATATAAACTGAGATACAAACTTTATCGAATAGTGGCGGATAACGAGTTTACGGGTCTAATAAGAATAATAATTTGCTAAAAATTAGTCTAAGTCAACATCGCTTTACTTTAACATGAAATACTAAGTCCTAGTTTACTAAAATCCCAAAAATGTATATTCATTAAAAAGAGCATGCCTAAAAAAATAAGACCAAAATGATATTTTAGCTTTTGTTGCATAAATCACATAACACCGACAAATTAAACATTGAGATTCAGTTTCAAATATACAAGTTTAAATATTATTGCGCTCAGTAATTTTCCAAATCCAACCCCATCCAGCCATACACTTTGATTTAAATTTTTTAGTTGTTATTGTTTCGTCTTTATCAGGCATTTCTAAAAACATTCTTGACGTTGTTTTGAAATTTGGCGACATAAAATAATGTAATTAATCTTTTCTAGAATATGGAAATGATACACTGTGCGACGGCCGGCACGACCTATCTCATGGGATTCTCGTGTTAACGAAAACTCACCACCACCAGTGTTGCCGCGACGTCATGAAAAAATGTATCTTAAAAAAACAAAAAAATGGAAAAAATGTATTACAAAATTTTTATTTAAGTATCAAAGTATCAAGTTAGAAAAAACTTAAAAATATGCTATTTGTTCTATACCTTTGCTTTTTATTATTGTCAATAACCGAAAAATCATGTAATTCGCAGTCATGCACCTACATACATATGTATGTACGTGAAGAAAAATATGTTACGTACTGTGACAATCTATCAAAAAGGAGGTTATTGTATTTAATCTTGTATAGAGACGAAAAAAAATTATGTATAGATTAGGGCTGTGCGATTATTCGATTACTCGAGCAAGTTGGTTAATCAATTATTCGGTTAATCCATTACTCGAGTAATCAAGATTTTGATTACTCAAAACGATGAATAATCGAGTTACTTGAAATACTGTTACTCAAAAAAAAATGTATTCGTTAAAAGAGTTTGCTTTGGCAAATGCTTATTTTCTTTTTTACATTCTGTATAGGTACATTCCTTATCTTTTTGGACTAAAATCTGAAAAAGTGTCAAATTGCCAGAGCGTAAGCTCACTAAAAGAGAATAACAGGAAAAAGTAAAGGAATGCGAAAAAACAAATTTTTAGTCCAAAGAATGGCAACAACAAAACTAACGTCAAATAAGAATAGAAATGTATGTACAAAACACATTCACACAAGCACAAGCACAATAAACACTTACTATATCAATTATTTTTTGCCTCCTTCAAATTTCCATTAATTTTTTTTACTTTATGGCCGCTTAATAAAAAACGCTTTATTAAAACACATTTCCCATTTTCTTTGTTGCCGCCAAGCGTTCTGGAGGAAAAGTGCAAGGTACTTCTAGATCAAATTTTAATTACAGTAAAATAAAAAAAGCTATTAAAAATAATATACTTTTAGATTGTTTATGTAGCACGCAACCCCAAAGATGTAGCAGTTTCCTTTTACCATCTAAATCGTTTATTCCGCACGCAAGGCTATGTCGGTGATTTTACACGATATTGGGATTATTTTTCTCGTGGTTTAAGTAAGTTTCTTTTATGTGCTAAGAAAGAAACATCTTTATTTACCTAGTTTGAAAATGCAGATCCCTGGCTGCCTTACTGTAGCCATATCAAGGAAGCGTAGGCCCACAATCACCTTTCTAATTTACTTATACTTAACTATGAGGAAATGGTATCAGACCTGAGTTGTGTTATTCGGAAAGTAGCTGAGTTTTTAGATACTACAATCAGCACGGTGGGCTTGAAAGATCTTACAGAACATTTGGATATCAAGAATTTCCGGAAGAATGCGGCTGTTAATGGCAGTAAAATGGCGGACATTGGAGTGTTGCAAAAAGGAGCAGCTGGCTTTATTCCCAAAGGCGGGTGCGGAAATCGGGAAGAACTTGAATCCAACTATGAGTTAAAGAAGCAGATTGATCAGTGGATTGAAAACAATTTAGTTAAGTCAATTGAGTGAGACAACTTTATTTTCATTAAAAAAAAACAAAAACCAAAAAAAAATTGCATGTATTTCTTAAGAAAATGTTGAATATCGCTAGCTTAGAGTGAAAATTTGTAGAGTGCATGATCCGCATTGCGGTAATCGTGATCGAATGAATCGTTCGAATCAAATAAAATTGCAGCTGTTTTCTCCCCAATACAATTTAAATTGATGAAAAGCACCAGCCATCGAACGCCGTGATCTAAAAACCAAATTTCGATTCGAATTGCGTTCGATATCGCTTGTCGCTTTCCGGGCCCAGTTTTTATACCCGAGCGCACTTGTGCACAAGGGTATTATAACTTTGTTCACATAACGGTTGTTGGTAACAGGCAAAACGAATCGAGATAGATATAGACAAATGTATACATAAATGATCAGAATGAAAAGAGAAATCGATTAAGCGGTGACTGTCTGTCCGTCCGTCCGTCCGTCCGTCTGTGCACACGATAACTCGAGTAAAAATTAAGATATCTTAACGAAACTTGGTACGTATACTTCTTTCGGACGTAGGACGGATGACATTGAAAATAAGCAAAATCAGGCAATAACCACGCCCACATCCCATATAACGGTAATTTAGAGAAATACAAAATCTTCGATAAATCAGTAAATATTAAAGCTAATTTATTCAAAATTGACGCTTGCAACAATTCTTTACCAAGAAATACGTTTATGATAAAATTTTGGAAAATGGGCGTGGCACCGCCCACTTATGATCACATATATGTATATCGGTAACCGTTCTACCGATTTGTACCAAACTCGGTATTTTTATTGTGCTTGCCACATAAAAGCAAAACGTTGAAAATTATTGAAATCGGACTAAAATTACGGCCGCTTTTCATAAAACGGTAAATTTCAGAAATGCTTGAAACTTCAATATTTCGAAATTTAAGGACGCTAATTTACCCAAAATTGATATACCCCGG